TATATATATTCTAAAGCGTAATTTTATTGGGACCTGTAGCAGGTATAATAGAACAGAGAATGTAATCAAGAATTTACCTTCATGGGGCCCAGGATTGTCGGAGGACTGTGTCTCATCTGGTCTTTGTCCTATTATATTTGATATAGGTCCCGGTGGGGACGACGTGTTTGTAGTAGTAGAAGAAGAACTCGAGGTAGCCGTAGAAGCAGTAGTAGAACTCGGGGTAGCCGTAGAAGCAGTAGTAGAATTCGGGGTAGCCGTAGAAGCAGTAGTAGAACTCGGGGTAGCCGTAGAAGTAGTAGTAGAACTCGGGGTAGCCGTAGAAGTAGTAGTAGAACTCGGGGTAGCCGTAGAAGTAGGTTTAGGCAACATGCCTTCCAATTTGATCTCATTAACACGTAGAAGTTCTGTCAGCTCGGTCTTGTCCGCTAATGGTCCATAAAATATGTTTTCTGAGTCCAGTCTACGTTTTAAATCTCCTATCGTCAGCTTTTTATACTGATTCTGCAATTTGGGCTTACCCCCAAAGAAGCCCTTGATTTTAGGACTGGTGATAATCATACGTTGATATCAATCGTATGTGATTACGTTTTGTCTTAAAATCTGCAGTGCTGCTCCTGAACTAACACGCTTGCTAGTGTCGTCTACTCCCTGTACATAAAGTTGTACCAAACCTTTTCGTACCACGGCTGCAAAAGTTGCTTTCGGTTTTTGAAGGGGTTTCCTGGCCCATCGAGGTTGGACTATATTCAGCATCGTTTCGGGCTGTAATGGCTTCGTTTCTGATGAGACCTCATACAGTGTCGCCACCCCTTGTTGAAACCTATCCAGTGCGGAACTAATAGCATTAGCCTTTTCACCCACAATCTCCTTGTCTTTTATTACCGCTCCCTTACTTGATACAATCGGCTTCCACACTGCAGGTACTGGACTTTGATGGTGGTGTAATGACATTTTCCCTAAATCCGTGCGCGGTTGAAGACCTTCTGGCAAAGCCAATTCTTCAATCAATTCTGCCGGCGACTGGTGTTGAACGAGGTAGGAAATATATGATATGAGCGTTACTTGTACTACTACTTGTATTTTTACTTCTAAAACTACTTGCACTTTTACTTCTACTACTACTTGCACTTTTGCTTCTACTACTACTTGCACTTTTGCTTCTACTACTACTTGCACTTTTGCTTCTACTACTACTTGCACTTTATATACCCCGCTTTGTTCCGATAGTTGTACATGTCGGAATCCATCCCATTCAATGTCATGAACGCGTGTCTTTCGCATAGCACTCTCGATCTGATATTTGTAGCTGTGATGTTCCGATAACGTGGTTCCAAAGTGAACAACCGGTTGTTCCACAAGTTTCCCCGGTATTCATTTTTCCCTATACAGTACAGTTTCTTGTTCTATCTCATGTTCCGACTTATAAACTTCAGACATAGATTTCTTAGCTTTTACCGTTACAAACCTTAAGGCCGAGGTAGTATCGTCAGAGCTCGGATCTTCGTGACCGCAGATCGCATGAATAGGACGAGCACAGCCTTTGCAGGTATGTTTTCCACCTTCGGGAACTACTAATGAATCACCAGGCTTTTCCCATTGTACCTGCTGCACAGTCTTCTCATCGCCAGTGCTAGAAGTATCTCCAGTGGCAGTATCTCCAGTGGCAGTATCTCCAATGGTAGTATCTTTAGTAGTTTGGACAACATAATTCACGATGGAATTGTCTCGCGGTCTAATAGCCACAGAGATATCAGTTATCCCTTCTTGGTCACATACTGCCCTGTATATATCTACAGGCGTACATATACTACCACCTTTGTTTGATTTTACATCGTGGCCTTCTACAAATCGTTGTAGCACGATATTCACATACTCGAAATGTGTGTCAAGCGCTGTTTTCCCCGCTTGTGCCTCTGTAAAAATCCATCGCGTTATCTTGAGCTTACCATCAGGTGATTGCATCTGAGGTGTAGTGGTGTAATGTAGGGAGTTGGAAAATGTGGATGTATTGTCTGACTGCATCACTATACTGGTAATATTGGGCATCGTCTTCCGCACGTGGTAAAGTAGTGCTTCAATAGCGAGCACGACAGACGGTGCATCTTGTCCTCCGTTGTCGTCCGGTATATAATAATAAAACAATGTCTGTAAGTGCTTGGTCGGTTCTTCGTCCCCAGATTGTACCTTGTATTCACCCCGCACGAGCATAAACCCTAGAAGAGACATCCCTGATTTGCCAAAGTACTCACTTTGCCCTTCATTCTTTTTCATAGGAAGAATCTGCGAGTATGAATGGGATGGGTAGTATCAGAATTCACGACCGATAAGGTGTGGGAGTGGAAGTAGTAAAACAGGTGTGAGGCTAGAAGTAGGATTGGAAGGTAAATATAAATACATTCCTTTTGTTTGTGATGTGTCAGGGTTGTCGGCTAGTCCAACTTCCAGTTTATCAATCGACCGTTGTTGTATCTCGGCCCGCATTTTGTGGCTCGCATTGTGTCTCGCAAAAGTAATAAATTCGATCTTCAACTGCTTACAGGCTTCCATCATACTTACAAATTCTTTAGGGTCGAAGTATTTTTCGAAGTTGTCCTTCAGTAATCCAGCGATTTTGCTGGGATAATCGTAGTACAATTCGCAAGCTATGCAAGATTTTGTGTGTTGATGTCCCCGTCCTGTGCACTCTCCGAATAATTGTTATGCCATGCAATGATGTATGCATTCGCTCTCTACTTCCTGGTGGTTTGCGAGTGTATATTTAACATGTTCCGCACTGCTATCCAATCCCAATCTCAGAATTTTGAGATCGGTCTTCAACTTCTTAATCTTCTCGACGTTCTTCTCCTCACTATTAAGCATTTCGTGTACACATTCTACTACTGTACAAAATCCTGTGTAGTAGTAGGACAAGCCAGCGAGGCACGGTGATCTTCTCGTCAGCATATTTAACAGAAGATTAAAGGTATCTCTACCTATTTGGATGTCGCTCTTGATAGCACATTTATAGTGTTCATACAGACGGCACAGACTATCCCCTCCTCTTAAGAACACAGATATATCTCTGAACAGATGTCCTCCCATTTTCATGTTCCGTAGTTGTCCGGGTCGGTGTTCTAGGTTAAAATGTACCCAATACATGGCACCCATTAGTTTGTCCTGGGGAACCCTATATGAATACTTCTGCTGCGGCCTGTCCTTACCCCGTAAAGTGTATTTTTGGAAATCAGCTCGCAATCTCCGCCATTTGATAGGTCCAAGTTTCACCTTGTATTTGCGTTTCAAATCTAGACGCCTATCCTAATCATCAAACTCTTCTGCACCTCCCTCGTCATCGTTACCACTTCGACCCTTTGCGCCATCAGTAGAAGTTCTACTATTACCACTTCGACCATTTGCGCCGTCAGTAAAAGTTCTACTACTATCACTTCGACTATTTGCGCCATCAGTAAAAGTTCTACTACTACCACTTCGACCATTAGCGCCATCAGTAAAAGTTCTACTACTATCACTTCGACCATTTGTGCCATCAGTAGAAGTTGTAGAAAAACGTCTCTTCCTCGAGTTTGTCGTATGTGTCGGGTCCATATGTAATAGACTCGACTCTGGGCACAAGAACTAATTCCGCTATCTTCAACCATTTGTGGTATTTCAACGTGTACTCGTACTGGTGTAGGAGCTATAAAATCCGCCCAACTTAGACTGCTACTCCTACTACTACTACTATCACAACTATTTGATGGTAATTCAACGTGTACTCGTTTTGATCGTTGATTGTGCTTTCGCGTCTTGTTCTTGGTATTTCTATTCTGTGGCTTTGGAGTCTTAGTAAGTATCCCAGCGGTTTTTCGACTCTCCTTGTCCTTGTCCAGTGTCCGCTTCTCGTCCCTATTTATATCATCGCGCTTGGTTTCTACCATCTCCTTCGCCTCTTCCTGTTTTGTACAAGCAAAAATACTGCCAACCACATCTTTTTTATTCCTACCACCGACCACCATGACCTTCAGTGCTGCTTCTAAAAATAGCCTAGCCACATCATCCTTCCTATTCTGCTTCGTCATTTTCACTGCCTTCTGATCAATCACTTCACGCACACGATAAGGACTAGCATGGTTTATCGTATAGCAAAAACAATCTTTGACTGCGTTGTACTTTTGCACCACAAGTTTCTTGTGCGGTGTGTCTATGGCACCCTCTAAATGAGTTACTTTGCTGAATCTTGTAAGTGAAATATCAAGATTAGTCAGCATGTTCTTTACTCGCATATCTAAACATCGATTGTCATTTTTCGATAGATCTACCGGCTTTTCGCGTACACGTAGGGTTTTAGGGTTTAGGGTTTAGAACCCTAAACCCTAAACCCTAAAACCCTTGCTCGTCTCCTAAACTTAAGTTTGGGCTCAGGGGTTTTTGCTTGTACTTCATCAACTTCGTCAACTACAACATCTACTTCGTCTACTACAACATCTACTTCGTCTACTACAACATCTACTTCGTCCGGCGATTGCTGTCCCACTTCATCTACTACCACTTCACGCGTAGGGTTGGCCTGCATTTCATCGTCAACTACTTTTTTTTAGATCACTGATCAGTTGCCGTGATTCATCGATAACTTCAACAATGTCCGCCAATGTAGGCGATGATAGGTAATTATCAGTCATTGTTTTGTATTTTATTCACTGTATATGTATACATTCGCTCGTCTAAGCAAGGTGTTCATTTATAATCAAAACAAGAATGAGATGTAAATTTTGTACATTATTTACTACTACTACTTCTGGATTTGACTTCTACTACTTTTGCAATATGAATTCTACTACTACTTCTGCAATATGAATTCTACTACTACTTCTGCAATATGAATTCTACTACTACTTCTGCAATGTGAATTCTACTACTACTACTGCAATATGACTTCTACTACTACTGCAATATGACTTCTACTACTACTGCAATATGACTTCTACTACTACTGCAATATGACTTCTACTACTACTGCAATATGACTTCTACTACTACTTCTGCAAATATTTATATACTATTATTTTATATAAGTATCATTTGACACCTGTCGTCAGCCATCGATTTTTTTTTTGAAAAACAAGCCAGAAATGTAAAAATAGAATAAATATTGATCTATGAAAATCAGTTAATGAAGTAGATATCAAAGCTCATTTATAACATTGTACTAATGAAAAGGCTAGTTAAAATAATAAATATTCTAAAAATATCACGTATATTTTGTTATTCAATTAGACTGTGACAAAATTAAACATATTTATTTCTAAACCGATTTTTCTAGAATTTGTGTTTTTAACTACAATGAGCTAGCAATATTATTGGTTGTTAAATTTCCTTCGGATAGACATTAAATCGATATTCATTGGTCTAGATTTTGTTGAAAATCGCACAAATTATTCAAATTATTCATTGGTACCAAGTTCTGGTACAAATGTTTTGCCGGACCTTTTTGTTCAAAAACAGGTCGGTATTTCGCGGCGCGGGCTCTTAAAGAGCCCCTTTCATGAAAATCCTACTCCCAATCTCACTTTAGAGAATTACAGACTTAATGCGGCATCTCATTGGACACCGTCATTAATAGTATCAATCGAAAGAGGGGACTAATACAAGCACGTCGGTACCTTTAAGTAGGTATAAAGATGACTGTAGCCGTGTCAGTGGGCGGTTGCAGTTGTTGGCATCGGCATGGGCGATTCTGGAGTAAACTGATAATGTTGGCATCAAATTGGTTTCATGTTGGCTGCGTATTGGAATATTTTGAAAATTGATTTTTCTGTCATCACTTTTGGTAGCAAATTGGTGTCATATTGGCATCATATTGGCGTCACGTTGGCATCACATTAGCGAGAATGAATAGTCTATATAGGGATATTTTGAAATTTTATTTTTCTGTCATCACATTTGGCATCATATAGGCATCATATTGGCATACATTGGTATCACAATGGCATCAGCTTGGTCTTGTTTTGGCATCATATTGGTTCAAGAATGAATTGTGGACAAAGTACCCTAGGCGGATATTTAGGACCGGACGTGAGGACCGGATCAGGGGGAGGAATTTAGGACCGGACCAGAGGACCGGACCTAGGGGATTATTTGAGGTCCAGACCAGAGGACCGGATCTAGGGGACTATTGGAGGACCGGACCAGAGGTCCGGACCGATTAGTGGAATAGAGAATTTAATGAGATAAAAGTGATGACTCATACGAAACCATAGAGACGGGTATTTTCACATAACCCGATGGTAGAGAAAGTCTCGTTCCACATAGGATCGTGATTAATAAATATACCAGGCGCGCCATTCCCAATGGCACTTCTGACTGAGTTCACTTATTTCAGACTTAACACTCTTTACTAAGTGTTACTTGGTTTTGACCACATTTTTAAGTGACCGAACTACTGTATTTATTACATTACGTTCCTCACGGGTTAAGCTAACTAAAATTAATTAGGTATGTAATTTTTGTTACACAATGAGTGAAGTCACTATGTGAACAAGAAAACCTGTGTTCGATTGTTGAAACGATTGCTTGGAATTCATCTGCAGTCGCCATTGCATACTGATGAGGTGGCGACATAATTATCCTCTGATTTATTACCGGATGAAATACCAAAGCAGAGGTCTACACTATGCTAGGCCATTTATTACGTCAGTTACAGGCCTTCCCCACTTTGGAATGATGTCAGTCAGTTACAGACCTTCCAATCATTCGAAAGAGGAGTAAGGATACTCTCAGTCCTGCTTACACAATGTGCTAGCATATACGGCATGCAATCATCTGAGTGACAGTGGTTAATTATGCTGCAAGTGGCACGGCTGGTAGCATGGTTTACTATATATAATTCGATATCTATCGAAGATGCGGCACATACGTTTATGACTGCTTGGTAAATTGCTTGACTGGTGTCATAGACAATTGATGATGATTTGTTCGCGAACACAGCCTTGACAATACTAACAATCGGCTAGTCATTTATGCTGTGGATGGACCTGCTATGTATATTTCGCGGGGATGTACGATATATATTATGCATATTTTATATTTACAAAATAAGGCACACAAACATAGTACGAATGTTTCCAAAAATATATTCTAGTAGGGTGCAGCAATCTTTACAGAAAATGTCAAACACTCGCAAAAGGGTGATTTGTGAGTACCGGTGCATGACTGGGTAGAGAGGCCACGGTCGATCAACTGTGGTATACTATGACCAGGAGACAAGTGGTAGGACAAGGTGTACGTACCGCACTGGGTGACGTTGTTGCACGTATATGTGTGGAAACAAGTTACTTAGAGTAGACACAATCGACAAGGTCTATCACACATGACGGGGAAATGATATTGGGCAGATAATAAGTCTGCTATGGACCCCCGAGTATTCACTAACAAGTATATTTTACCCCGAGCGAATTTTACGCAAACAGAGCTCTTTACATGGTGCTGACGTCAATACAAGCGTATAACTTCATTTTAGGTGTCAGAGAGGAGACACACACGATAAGATATCCAGGAGCTATCGCTAGTGTTCTTATGCTGAGAAAACACTATGGGATTGTGTGTATTGTAATGCATAACTTGGTGCTGGAGACATCATTCAGTTACAATCGACAATTTTGCTGTGCGCTGACGAGTATAACGCAAACAATTATGAGGCAGTGTGAAGGTGACCAGGACGTTTTTATAAGGTGATACACTTAAAGTTGGACGACAACGTGATGTGGCTCGTCGATGGGTCGACAATCGACTGCCGAGCGGTGGCGTTCCCGTGGGAGGACTTGCTATGGCTCGATGAAGAATCGCTGTTCTGCTAAGGGATCTTGGTGCTGCCGCGGGAGAATCTGCTGTGGCCGGAAGAAGGATTGATACTGGGATACTACGCTGGAGAGTTACCGCTAGAGGAGTTGTCGAGACTGGCAGCGGATTACAACGGCGAGATGGTGTTGCGCATCGCCGAGGATAGGCCGGGTGACAATCAAACATGGAAATGAATGCTACTGTTGGTGACACAAGCGAGCTACCAGTTGATTACGTCTTCAGGAATACACAGGGTACAGTCGATTACAAGGCAAGATAATTTAAGGTAAGAGCTGCCTTGGTCAGTTGTATGGATGACCAAGGCGGCGATATTGCGCAAGCGCGTGTTTATGTTCACATACAAGCGTATTATGTATTAGTGCATGTAAATATAACTGACAGCACAGAAGCTGCGGGTGTGAATTACAGGTATGTGCGTGTCTAGAACAGGCAATTAGATAAACTGTATAGTATCAAGTATTTAGGATATTTACATAAACACACACTCTCGGTAGATTTTCAAATCAACAGAACCAACACATACAATTATTATTACATTATTAAACAGAAGGCATTTATTTTGATTAAGTTACTATAGCAGAGACACAACATACATAACACATACACACTAGCTGACACACCGCGTGTAGACATATACAGAATATTATGCAAAGGCATGACTCATCGTAGCAAAACACTACGCGGTAATGCAAACAATATTAACATACACACAAGTATAAGGCGCTGTGCGTCACACATAGCATATTGCTACAAAATAATTGAAATCTATCAAACATTACAAGGCCGGCACTATTGCCCAGCGCGGAAGGTTCAGAGAAAGCCGCCCATGAGTCGTGATCCCAGTGTGGAAGGTTCAGAGAACGCTACCTAGGAGTGGATCGTGCGGTCTAGTTACACGAGTGCTGGTTGTGTGTGGCAAGTATATCTATATGCTTAGAGTATAGGCGAGCACCCTGTTGACTCTAACTCAGTGGCGAGCAACCCTGAGGACACGGCGCATTGAACTTTGCGTAGGCGTGTAGACATATGCAGAATATTATGCAAAGGCATGGCTCATCGGAGCAAAACACTACGCGGTAATGCAAACAATATTAACATACACACAAGTATAAGGCGCTGTGCGTCACACATAGCATATTGCTACAAAATAATTGAAATCGATCAAACATTACAAGGCCGGCACTATTGCCCAGCGCGGAAGGTTCAGAGAAAGCCGCCCATGAGTGGTGATCACAGTGTGGAAGGTTCAGAGAACGCTACCTAGGAGTGGATCGTGCGGTCTAGTTACACGAGTGCTGGTAATATTTAGAATATTTACATATACACACACCCTCGGTAGATTCTCAAATCAACAGAACAACACATACAATTATTATTACATTATTAAACAGAAGGCATTTATTTTGATTTAGTTACTATAGCAGAGACACAACATACATAACACATACACACTAGCTTACACACCGCGTGTAGACATATACAGAACATCAATTATGCAAAGGCATGACTCATCGTAGCAAAGCACTACGCGGTAATGCAAATAGTATTAACAAAAACACAAGTATAAGGCGCTGTGCGTCACACATAGCATATTGCTACAAACAAATTGAAATCGATCAAACATTACAAGGCCGGCACTATTGCCCAGCGCGGAAGGTTCAGAGAAAGCCGCCCATGATTGGTGATCCCAGTGTGGAAGGTTCAGAGAAAGCTACC